TTGCTTTCGGTGTTTGTGGCCATTGCAATGCACCCACGGTTGTCTTCGTACACCTTGAATGCCGTGTCCGGTCGAACTTGCTTCAGGTCTTCAAGGATTCCGTGCAGCCACAGCCCTTCGGAGGCCGCGGCACTTAAAGCTGCATACTCGGCTTCACACGACGACAGTGCAACGGTTTGTTGCTTGCGGCTTGCCCAAGACACGGTGTTCCCAAAGACCTTAAAGACGAAGCCACTAACGGATTTCCTATCCTCAGCATCCGATGCCCAGTCAGCGTCTGCGTACCCGACAAGTGCCTCGGCGTCGTCGTTTTGCTTGTACTGGAGCTTCAAGTTCTTCGTTCCCTTCACGTAACGGACCACTCTCTTCAGGGCTTGCCAGTGGGCCTCATCAGGTTGAACTTGGAAGCGCCCTAGGTATCCAACAGCGTAGCATATGTCCGGTCGAACACACAGCATCGTATACATCAGGCTGCCCAGCAATTGACGGTATGGATGCGACACAGGATTCGCAGCTTGTGGTGGCAGGAAACAGCCTTTCTCCATTGGGGTTTTGACATGGTTACAGTCTTGCATGCCGAACTTCGTCAGCACACGGTCCACAGCAGCTTCTTGCGCCAGGTACATGCATCCGGTGGCGCGGTCGTATCGGATCTTCATTCCAAGGAAATGATTAACCACGCCGCAATCCGTCATCTGGAGCTTCTTGGAAAGAGCACGCTTGATCTCCTTCACCAGGTCCAGTCGATCGCCAGCAATGAGCAAATCGTCCACGTAGATGATTATGTATACCCCCCTTCGATCGTCGATCCTGGTATATAGACAGTAATCATGCCGGGAACGGGTAAAGCCGAAATCCAGTAGAAGGTCGTTTAGCTTGTTGTTCCAACAGCGGGGGCTTTGCTTAAGTCCGTACAGCGATCGATCCAGCTTGCAAACGAGGTTCGGCGGTGCTGCAACTCCTTCGGGTATGGCCATGTAGACGTCTTCTTCAAGCTCACCGTAGAGGAATGCGGTCTTCACATCGAGTTGGTGAACGTGCATCCTTCGGTGGGTTGCTACAGCAAGAACGGTTCGTATCGTGGCTAACTTTGCTACGGGGGAATATGTTTCGTTGTAGTCGACTCCGGGCTTCTGTTGGAATCCCTTCGCCACCAAGCGCGCCTTGTAACGGATCGGTTCGCCATGCTCGTCCGGCTTGATTCGGAAGACCCATTTCGATTTGAGCGGAACCACACCAGCAGGGCATCTCACCAATCGCCAAGTTGTCCGCTAGCGACTGCAGTTCCTCACGGACCGCTTGCTGCCAAAGAGCTTCGTCGGCTCGTCCAGCGATCTCCTTGTACACCTCCGGGATATCGAAGATCGAACGCTCGGCCTCATCTCGTCCAACGGAACCGTCAAATAGTACATCGGAAACGTTATGGGGAACATCTGCAGAATGGGATTGCGCGGCAGTGAAAATTTTTCCAACCAGAAATTCTTTCAACTTACCGGGGAGTCTGCGCTCCCGTTCGCTGCGCCTCGGGGTTTCCATTTCGAGGTTTGAACCACGGTCTAGTTGCGAAGGGAGCGCTCCGGTTTCTTCAACACCGTCGTCTTCAACCTCGCCTTCTTCATCATCAGTCAGGATGTCGTCATGTTGAGCCACCAGCGGCTCATCGGGTTGAACGGACTGTTCAGGGATTTGCACGTCTTCCTCATCTTGATCCTCGAACTCGTACAACCAAAGGAGTTTCGTCACGGATCTGGGTGGCAAACGGAAAACTGTTTTCATCGAACTTGACATCTCTGGCTAGGAATAACTGCTTCTTCTCTTTGTTCCACAGGCGGTAGGCGTTCGGCGCATAGCCGATCATCACAGCAGGCTTGCTTTTCGGATCCAGTTTCTTCCTCTGTGCCGTGGACACCCAAGCAAATGCTTTACAGCCGAACACACGTAGTTTACTAACGTCCGGCTTGTGACCAGTCCACATTTCCGCAGGAGTCTTCCAATCAGATACCGCGGTGGTTGGACTTCTGTTCGTCAGGTATACCGCCGCTAGAACCGCTTCATTCCACAGATTCTTCGGAGTTTGGGCTTCAATCAGCATCGCACGCACCTTTTCGACGATTGTCCGATTGAACCGTTCGGACACTCCATTCTGCTGTGGTGTGTACGCTGCGGTTGGCTCGACTTGGATCCCCTTGGAAACGTACCAATCACGCTGGTCATTGGAGCAATACTCGCGCCCTTGGTCGACAGTCAGCTTCGAAATCGAATGTCCCAGAGCGGCACTCGCCATGGCCTCGTACTCTCGAAACTTCTGGAACACCTCGGACTTCTTCTTGATGGGATATACTACTGCAAAGTGCGTGTAATCATCAATAAAGGTGACGAAGTACCGAGAATCATCCCAAGCCGCTGGTGTAATTGGACCGCACACATCGGAGTGCACTCGTTCTAGAGGTCTTGTAGCACGGACTCTAGTACCCGTGAATGGTTCTCGGCACTGCTTTCCGAGAACACAAACATCACAAAAATCCAATTTATCTGGTTTCTCGGGAATACCTGTTACCATGCCATGCTTCGCGAGTGTCTGCAAACTCTTGCTCCCCAAATGAGCCAGTCGACGATGCCACAGGTTACCAGTCACAGCTCCACACATGTTGGCCGCCACCGTATCGACACGGACATCGAGCTCGTAAAAATCGCCCCGCATGGGACATCTCGCAATCAGGTCACGACCCTGCTTCATGATCGCTTCCTTTTTCGTGAATGTGACATCAAGATCCGCTTTTGCCATCTTCTTCACAGATAGCAAGTTCGCTCGAAGATCTGGTACGAAGAGGACGTTCTTCAAGCTGATATAGTTACCTTCCTTGTTGACGCCGTTGATCGTGCCACTGTGCCGGGAAATCAGGGATTGATCATCCTTCGCCACGTTTATGACGACAGGGTGCTTCAGCTTCGTGAGGTCGGCGAAACAGTGCTTCACATTCACAAGGTGGTCCGAGGCTCCGGAATCCAGCTTAAAGGAAACTGCTCCCTCGTCCTTTGTTTGGGAGCATCTCCCGGTCATAAAAGCCACCGCCTTACGTCCAGCAGCAGCGTTAGCTTCAGCGCGCCCATCTGTCTTCAATTTCACACGACAGTCCTTGGCCTTGTGCCCCTTCTTCTGGCAACGGTTACACTTTCCGGTGAACTTACCAGGCTTCTGCTTCGATCCTTGGAATGCTGCAGGTTTCTCTTGGCAGGAATCCGCTGCCCGGTCGGTTTTCTTGAGCTCCTCGGCAAGAAGGCGCTTGCGAACAACATCCAGTTTTAGGTTTTCCTCACCTAGATTTTCCAGTGCCGTAACCAACGGATCGAACGACTCGGGAAGGGTAGCAAACAGCTGGGACACAATATCGTTCTCTTCAAGCTTCGCTCCGGCCAGCTTCAGTTGTCGGATCAGCTCTTCGAAGGTTTTTAGGTGATCTTTCACAGACGAACCTTCCATCATTCGTAGCTTCGCAAGTTGCTTCCTGACGAATGTCTGCGACGAGACGGACTTCTTGGCGTAGGCGGATTCAAGGCTCATCCACATCTCCTTGGACGTCTCCTTGTCCCGCACCAAATGCAGCAAATCGTCATGAACAAATGACGTCAGCAGGAACGCCGCCTTACCGTCATCTTTCTGGAACTTCGTGAGCTCGGCCGCTTCCATCGGAGGATCCTTCTTGATGATATCCAACAGCTTCACGGACTTCAGATACTTCTCCACTCGAAATTGTCAATTGTCGAAACCGGTGCCCGAGAACTGCGGGATCCCGTGGACCAAATCCTTGCGTGAGTCGCCCATAACCTCTTGATAGTTAGAAAGAACCGGAACAGCAAAGTTTAAAAGTAGAATGGATTTTATTTAACGACTAGCTTGAGTGGAGTCTTGAACAGGAATGAAAAGTTTTTCACCGTTGTTTATTTAAGAAAACTTAGGTTGCTAGGGGTGACGTTCGGTCTCCAAGGAGGTGATCAGCACACTGCGTTACCGATTTACTCCAACAAAAACAATCTTTGAAATTTTATCAGTGTGTGTTTCGAACAAGAATTTTGCAAAAAGAATCACTTATTATTTTTAGCTTTAAACATACATTGACACATTTAAATCTCTATTAATATCGAGAAAACGGTTTTACTGTAAAACATAAACATAAGCGTTACGTAAATAACATAAAACTGCTGTGGCCAATTCAACTGATTTAAATCAGTGAGCCAAAAACTATCTGACTTGGCTATTTAAATCATTAGCATTCGGATTTTACGCATTCTATCTTGTTCTCCCTCTCTAGAGACAAGTGTTCGGCTGTCTTTCAGTTTATCCTTCTTTCCTTCTACTGCTGTCAGTTTTGAGTCGAGCTGCAGAGTCATTTGGTTGGAAGAATTTACACTCGTTCGGCAATCTGTTTGTAGGTGAGGATGGCTATTTTGATTCTGTGGTGCTCGTGCGAGTGAATGAATTTTCCCATGCTTGACTCATGACCCAACCAGCAGAGGCCCAACTAAAAAGCAGCCCAACTTTTAAAAGCCCACCCCAATAAACAAATACCATAAACGAACAATAACCCAAATAGTCAAACTTTTCCACACATGGTTTGGATGATACCACAAACACGTCGTTAAGCATATAAACAATTTATTAGGACCAAATACTTGACCAAATACCATAAATGAACAACAACCTAAACGCTAGAAATATTCCACAAATGGTTTGGATGATAAACCCGAACACATCTTTAAGCAAAATTCGCATATAAATCTTATTAAGGCAACCAGCGATTTTCGACCGTGAAAATGTGTAGATTTGTTTGAATGAATATTTTTCCGTGCATCTCAAGCTTCAACACGGCTTCAACTTCAACCTCGCGGCTTCAACGCTTTTTCGAAATTGTACCTTCCTATCCCTCTTTATGTGGAGACTTTTGTTCGCAGAGGAAACTCTCCACAATCGACACTTCTTCTTCCTTTCCTGTCAAAATGTCACAAGTCAACGACGAAAGCTTCCAACCCTACAATCGTCCATTTCTATTTCGCTCCCAGTGGCATTTACTACGTAAGTGAATTTGCTCCTCCTCAAAAATGTGTATTTCAGTGAGAAATTGTTGGAAATTGTTTACCAATAGTTGCGGAAATGGTAATTATTAGTGGTAGCATTAATCGGTGGTTGTTCGAGTTTTGTTGAATATTGCCTTAATTTCTTGGAAATTGGTAGCAAATATTTCCGGCGTCCCAATTTACACGTGTTTTTCTGGAAAGGTTCCATTTGTAATTTTTCTAGTGTTTCATTAAAAGATTTATTTTGTTTTAAAGGGCGTTACTTCTTGTTCACTTATTTCGCGGTTAATTGAAGAGTTGATAGCAAAATTACTAACTTTTTCGTAGAACTCCGCGAATTTCCAACATAACCTCAAAGCATCACTACTTCCGGGCAGTCGTCCATTGTTTACATGCTTCCTTTTACTCTCTCGTTTCCAGGTTAAATCGTTACTCCCAAGTTAACGTAACGATGTCGGGAAATCTAGACATTCTAGCTCTGAAGGATGACGACGTCACCAAGATGTTAGCGGCGACGACCCACGTCGGAAGCACCTCGGTGAACTTCCAGATGGAATCCTACGTGTACAAGCGCCGCCCGGACGGAGTGCACATCATCAACCTGGGCCGCACCTGGGAAAAGCTGCTACTCGCTGCCCGTTGCATCGCCAGCATCGAGTACCCCGGAGAGGTAAGTGTTCGGTTTTCCCCCTAAACCTTCATTTGGAATAACTGTGCCAAGAGAGCGATCAGGATTCCGTCAAGATGATGATTTAACTTTTCCATCTTTCGGGTCGGATAACCCATGACGTAGAACACTTAAGTTACTGATTCGACGAATCCTGACCCAAATCGCACTTGGCGTGTCAAGGACGGTATTGATCGACCCGAGAACCTACTGAAAAAATTTCCCCGGAAAGGTATTCTGGTTCATCATCGTCGTTGGGTTCCATTTGCAGAGACCCTGCAGCGAAGAAAACCAGATAGAATAAAATAGATTTCAATCCACTGCCGGAGTTGGCTTCGATTCCCATGGCCTCTTCGGTGCACATGATATGAAATACATTGGTCTCGTTTGGTTGATGATTCCTCCTAGGCTCAGTTGCCATAAAATAGATAGCGTCACTTCAATCGGAGACTGCCACTAATCACACCTTTTTTCTGCTCTGTCCCCAAGGTCTTCGCCATCTCGTCCCGTCCGTTCGGACAGCGTGCCGTGCTGAAGTTCGCCCACTACACTGAGGCTACCCCGACTGCTGGTCGCTTCACGCCCGGTGCCTTCACCAATCAGATCCAGCCGGCTTTCCGTGAACCGCGTCTGCTGATCGTCACCGATCCGTTGACCGATCACCAGCCCGTCACTGAGGCGTCGTACGTCAACATTCCGGTCATTGCTTTCTGCAACACCGATTCACCGCTGAAGTTCGTCGACATTGCCATCCCATGCAACAACAAGTCGCCCCACTCCATCGGTTTGATGTGGTGGCTGTTGGCTCGTGAGGTTCTGCGCCTGCGTGGTAAGATCACCCAAGACAAGTGGGAAATCAAGCCCGATCTGTTCTTCTACCGCGACCCGGAGGAGGCCGAGAAGGAACAGGCTGCCATTGAGGCTGCCCCGCCGGCCAAGGACCTGTACCCTGACGAACCGATCGTCGTTGATGAGACCAACTGGGCCGGTGAGGATGCGGCTCTGCCAGCCGTCGCCGCTGCTGGTGGTGCTGCTGCTGTCGTTGCCGCCGTTGTTCCCGCACCGGCTGCCGTACCGCAGCTGATGCAGGCCGATGATTGGAACGAGGATGAACCCCAGACCGCTGGATCGTGGGGAGGTGGCGGTGGCTTCTAAGCGCCGCTAGCTTCTGTTGGTGTGAAGAGGACACTACGTGGAATCTATGTAGGTGGTTCAGGTGGAAATACACAAAAAGGATGGAAAAAGTAATTGATATTTTAGTATTTATATGTTTCATCCGAAAATTCTTTGCGAGCGTCCCTTAAGGTTTATTTTATTTACTTATGTGCCGCAATTTAGAAGCTAGGCGAGTAAGAAGTGCCACAGTCGGAAGAAGTGTTAGTTTGTTTACTAAAATGAACCATGCCTATTTTGTTATGGCAAGTTTGCTATAAGAAATTCTCCTCGTGTTTATTAGCGAAATTCACATCAAAGATTGATTAATTCTCGATGAACATTTCAAATGGTCCTATCTGCTTTGATCGATTCTCTTCATCGACTTTCTCTTTTCATAACCACTGCTATGCAAACAGATTTCGCGCTAATTCTACCACATAGTTTGATAAAGGAGGTTCTTATCTAGCGTCCAAAACGTCAAATACAACAGGGAAAGGTTTTGCAGCTGAGTTATTAACGAAAGAGAAAGTCGATGAAGAGAATCGATCAAAGCAGATAGGACCATTTGAAATGTTTATCGAGAATTGTGTAGGAAATCAGTTTGGCACGGCATTTGTGACCAGCATACACCTTCCGGTCGTATGAAACAGGTCAAAAACTGTCCAAATCCACCGTTAAAAAATTTTGTTTTGAATTTCTGTATAGCAAAATAATGAACTTTTCGTCAACATTAACGGCAAAGAACTCACTTACACTGGGAGACCGTGAGTTCCTGCCCACCTGTCATTTCCCATCTCGATCTCGATCTGCGTTGATCCGAAACAGTCTACTGCGGACTCGAAATTCTGAGGCCCACCGCCTGGCTGGAATTCAGACACTGGACGACCAGAGAACGTTCATTCTGCAAAGATTCAAAGATTGCTGTGGGCGGTCTGACTACCAGATAATATGTGATCTTGCACGTTAGGTTTAAGTTATTCGTAAATTTCATATGAATTTCAATCCAATCCAAAAATGAAAAGCCTTTCAGCGAAGACATCATATCAAGAAGACTGGCAACTTTGCCGGGATCCAAACGACAGATACAGTAGTGCTGCACTTGAGTGAAGGTGGAAGCAGCGCATAGAAATATGAGCACGGAAAATCGGGGAGAGTTGATACCTTCTGATCTGATAGCCCAGCTTGGTTTGGCAGGAAATTTGAATCCACTCTGCCTTAGATGGACCGGAAACACGCCGCGGGTAGAGAAGGAGTCACAGACCGTGACGATTACAATTTCGGGACCGGATCAGAAGCGACATTACGAGCTTGTAAACGCTCGAATGGTACAGAATTGGGATCTACCGATGCAATCCTTCAACCTAGAAGAGGCAGCAAGGAAGTTCGCTTATCTGAAGCAGTTGCCAATTAACAGCTATCACAACGCTAAGCCGGAACTCTTAATTGGGCTAGACAACCTTAAACTTGCTGTACCGTTGAAGACAAAAGAGGGATATGGATCTGGGCCGATTGCCGTCAAGACTCGATTGGGACGACAGGATTCACGGGTCACCGGCGGATTCAGTTTCCACATTTGAGGATGTACGAGATATGTCGAGTTACACGAGACCGTTAAACAGTTCTTCGCGGTGGAAGAGAATGGAGTCAAGCCACTCGAGAACACTTTCAGCGTGGAAGAAAAGCAAGCTCAAGAATCAGGTGATCCAAGAGACGTTTCTCAGTAGAACTGACAGCTGCAAATCTAGAGTGTGTGAGTGATCTGGTGTTAATGGTGCTGAATGTAAACATAAACAAAGCAGAAATTCATAAGAGTCAGCTGATCGCAATTGTCTCGTGGACAGCCTTTTGGTTGGAGAAAACCACGAAGCGTGTTGGCAGGCACCTCTATGGGTCTACTGTGGAAAAAGGACGATATTTAGTTACCGGATAGCTACGGTATGGCATTGCGACAGTGTCTCCAACGAAGGATGGAACGCAATACAGCTCTACGAGAGAATATCAGCCGTCAAATACAAGAATACGTCAAAAAAGGCTACGCTCATCGGTCGACTCCAGCCGACTTTGAAAATGCGGACCCCAGGAGAGTTTGGTTCTTCCCGTTAGGAGCTGTTACGAACCCAAACAAGCCTGGAAAGGTGCGTCTTGTATGGGACGTGACGGCGAAAGTTTACGGCGTATCGCTGAATAATAGCATAGAGGTAACTCTAAGACTAGAAGGTCCCGAAATAACTTGCTCAAATTTTTGGCTCAGCTCTGGTACTCTCTTCGGTCCCAAGCTAATCGATTCACCCCTCGAAACATAGGAAAAACGAATAACCCCTCATTTCATCTGTCAAACTTTCATAGCGAATCAAAACAAACATTGCGTAGTACTAGAATTTCGACTAGAATGGGATACGTTAATCGTTTGTTTGGGACCAATAGGCTAGTCAAGTAGTGAGCCAATTTAAAATCGTTAGTTTCGTATTGATTGTTGATAATAGTGTCTTGCTGAAAGGACCGGACCAGCTAACCCTCTTGCCTGCAGTACTGTTCCGTTTCCGTCTGTACCTCGTGGCTGTCAGTGCAGATATCGAACAAATAATGTTCCATCAGTTAGGCATTCCTATGGAGTGAAAACCCCGATGATCCAGCGGCGGTTTATTTAATGGACATTGCGACATTTAGTGCGCCAAGGAACACATGCAGCAGTATCCCAGGACCGTCGAAGGAATATTGAAGGGTCACTATGTCGACGATTACCTTGACAGCTATTGGCAGTGAAGAAGAAGCGGAGAAGGTTTCAGCAGAGGTACGACAAGTTCATCACAATGGAGGTTTTCGTCTACGAAATTGGAGGTTAAACGGCAAGAATGTCTTGGCGGAACTCGCCGAATCAGCGGTGGTAGACAGCAAAATCCTGTATTTTGATTGCGACGAACAAGTGGATCGAGTACTCGGCATGTTGTGGTCGTCAAATTCGAACGTACAAGGATGCACAACTACACGTATTCGTCGACGCTAGTGGGATTGCTTACTCGTGTGCAGCTTATATTAGCACAACCGTAGGTCGTCCTGAATGAACTATCTCCACCTCCTCAAGGTGGTTTGTTTAAAAGGACGTTAATAAATGGAAGCATTACCGTAGGCGATGAATCACCCGATTGCGTTTTGGTTTCCGGCGAAACCAAGGTAGCACCGCTCAAACCGATTTCCATTCCAAGGCTGCAAAGATGCGTTCTCGGTACGCGTCTACTAACATTCGTACAGGAAAATTATCCAATCGTATTTATGAAAACGTTCCTCTGGACAGACTCTACTACAGCGCGAGCATGGATCCGGTTCGACTCACGACGCAACAAGCCCTTCGTAGCTCATAGAGTCGGGGAGATAGGTACTAGCAACAATCAATACGAAACTAACGATTTTAAATTGGCTCACCACTTTAGTAGCCTATTGGTCCCTAGCAAACTATTAACGTACCCTATTCTAGTTGAAATTCTATTACTACACTATGTTTGTTTTGATTCGCTATGAAAGTTTGACAGATAACATCAGGGGTGTGTGGATTCATGCAGAACATGCAGGGGTGAGTGAAATAGCTTGGGACTGCTTGGGACCGTTGTTCTGGTACTGAGTGAGCCAAAAATAATAATGATTTTCTTCGGGACCCAGTGGTCTTAGAGTTACCTCTATGGTACTAGAGAGTACGGACGCAAGCGAATGGTTCCGTCCAAGTTTAATCTAGCACGGAGAAAAAATACTACCCAAAATTTGAGTTCTTTTTACTTAATATTGACTTCAGCCTCTCACTTGCACTCATTATTGTTGTCAAAAAAGGAACGAGAGATTCGACCCAACGATATAGTTCAGCCCAATAAGTTACTTTTGAGTAAATTGCATATTTTCAAATTTACGTGAATTAAACTTAATTTTGGGTAGAATATACTTAAGAGTAGGTAGTTTTTTTGCTGGTGTTAAATGGAAACTACTATATGCGATTTACTCAAATTTGGGTTATTGGGCTGAACCCCGGAATTGAGGGAAATGTACTTAATTTTGGGTAGTTTTTCATCTCCGTGAGCAGATGAGGCAACCAAGTGGGGTCGAGAACCTTATGTGAACCAGGATAGCCAGTGGTTCAACGGACTAGAATTCCTGCGACTTCCTGAAGAAGCATGGCCCAGGGCGGTTGAATCGTGTTGTTCCACTTCGCAGTTGAACCGGTACTCGAATTCGAGCGATTCTCGGTGTGGAAAAGGATGCTACGCGCCATTGCATACGTCAAACGTTTCATCTACAACATGGTCAAACCAGAACAGAAGCTGCGTGGGTCACTTACGCAAGCTGAGTTTCTCAACGCAGAGTGTGTGATCTGGAAACTCGCACAGCAGGAAAGTTTTCCTGATGAAACAGCTATCCTCGAACGAAAGAGGTCCGAAACTAACGAGAACCAGATGTCCGTCGATCGGAAGAGCAAGCTGTTTACGTTAATTCCGGTGCTTGATGACACTCGTTTGCTGCGACAACGAAGTCGCATAGTAGCTGCTAAGGATATGAATTACGTTACGGAGGCGTAGGGAGCAGCAGATCAAGCGTACGACAGAAAATTCGGCACAAGCAGGATAAAAACACGCGACACAATTTACCGAGTACAAAAGAAGAAAGAACACGTTGGTTATAATATTCTCTACACCAGGGCTGCCAAGCTTCACAACATATGTAGAGATTATACGGCGGGTTTGCCCATGCGAAGCTATGTGCATTGCATTTCCATACTCCTCCTCAATGGACAGTAGCTTCAAGTTCATTGCTGCAGGCCAAGGTCCTCACAGAACTTCGTATGCTTCGTAGGCCCCAATGGCTTCGTCATGACGTCCGCTATCATACAATCCGATGGGCAATATACTAGATCGATGACCTTCTTAACGCACAGCTCCTGGACAAACTTCTGTCTGGTGTCGATGTGCTTCGACTTGCGACTCACCCTTTTGCACTTCACAAAGGCTAAGCACCCTTGATTGTCTTCACGAATCACAGTCGGCTCAGTTTGGGCTTCTCCAAGATCGCTTAATAGTTTCTTGAGCCAGATAGCTTCCTGGCAGGCTTTACTC